GGATCTATAGGGCTGCTGTCCTCACCATCTTGTTCTATGGAGCTGAAGTCTGGAACACCACCAAAAAGCAGATGAAACGTTTCGAGGTTTTCCATCAAACCTCCTTGAGAAGGATTCTTAGGATTAAATGGTTCTTTCATGTAACCAACGACGAAGTTCTTAGGAGGGCTGGCATCAAGTCAGTTGAGACTTTCATCAGTGCTGCCAGGCTACGTATGTAGTTAGAATGCCAGACTCTAGACTACCGAGGTTTCTGTTGAACTGGAAGCCAAACTATGGAAAGAGGTCAAGGGGCAGACCCCGTAAGAACTGGAAGTCCTGCGCACTCGAAGATGCTGCTAAGTTTACAATTCAATTAAACAAATAATGAAAACATCGACAACGACACAACAGAAGCTTTGGCTACCAACCGAGTACAGTGGAGACATATGTTACGCCGCCAACGCGATGTGTGTGATGCAGGCCACTCCAACGACTAGGAGGAGACCTTACCATGTAACATGTATGTAACTTTATGATGCTGCCTCAACGCAGTAAGGTGTGTTATCAGTGTAGAAATGCGCAGTGGCAGTGAAATAAGGAATGTGCTGTTAGAATGGCAGGTGGTTTGAAATGTTGTCCTGATTCAGATTGTTAATTTGAGCTGTAGTTTTGAGTGATTATTGACTATGTTCTTTGTGATTTACGTAATCCAGGTAGGTTGTGGAGTAAAAATGGTGGCCATTCATCGTTGCAGCCAGCACTTTGCAAGTCTAGTAGTACTTTTTTTGACGAATTCTTATATATGTTGATAGAAAATATACTGGATGGGCATGTAATGCGAGTGTTATGCTCTGAAATAGCGAGCATTGGGCCTTTATAAAAGATGCTAGATCTCAGCTCAGGTCAGTCTGTGAGTAAATTGATAACCAGTCTAAGTTTTGTTCGTGTGTCGTTCCTTGTTTGGGTGTGTTAGGAGGGAAAAGTTCTGAAATCGATTTAGGTAACAAACTAGACATATTTCGAACTTTGTGCAGTAAAATAAGTGCGTTTTTAACGATAACCCCTTGAACGGTTAAGACCTCGTGTTCTTTAAATGCTAGTTTTGTGTGCTCTGGCAGTTTTCCGTCCTTGTAGTAGTAGTTCACATTTCCGGCCATAACTGCCCTCATACCTTGTTTTTGTTTAGCAAAAAGAGATTCTATAAGAGATTTTGAAGCAAATCCCCAGACAAGTGAGCAGAAGTTTAAATGGGACTGAACAAAACTTTGGAAAAACTGTAAACGGGCCTTCAATGGCAATTTATGTTTTATCCTGTACATCACCCCAATAAATCTTGACATCTTGCTCCTCAGTGCTTTTATGTGGTTACTCCAGTTAAGCTTTTCATCTACAATTACACCAAGAAACCGGGCTTCAGTTTTACGTTCTAATACAGTATTTTCTATTTGTACTTTAATCAATGATGGTTCTATGCGCTTTTTCGAAAAAATCATATAACACGTCTTTTTTAGATTTAGTGCTAAACCGTTGGGCGTTGCTATTAACCCACCGTGATAATGTTTCCGTTAATTGGTTGACCCTTAGCATTAGTTCTTGGACATTGGAACCGTTAATAATGATATTTGCATCGTCTGCGTAAAGTATGAATTTTACCATCATGTTAGAAATACCGGGAAGATCGTTGATGTATATGACGAAAAGTAAGGGACCTAGTATGCTCCCTTGTGGAACACCATGTACAATAAGCTTGTGGGACGAATGTGAATTGTTTATTGCTACATATTGGCTTCTATCACTTAGGTATGACTCAAACCACTTTAGAGCTATTCCCGTACCGCCTAGCCTCAGTCTGTCAGTCGTAGTTAGTTACCACAGTCCACGTCACAAGCACATGCAATTTAGCTGTTATCTACATACAGATAAGAGTGGACAAACGTACTACAGAAAGAAATGTGTGTAATGTGAAAGAAATTTGTGTAATGATTATTTGTTTAAATTTTAAATAACCCAGCGATTTCAATATAATACGTTTTCTGGAATAAAATTCCTATTTTTTCCGAAAAAGTACACGGGTTGTGATATACTCTTTTACTAGCTGCTAACCAGAATAACATTTACCTTAGGATGAAATTATTCGTGGATTTAACTGGGGACCAAGAAAGAGGGCAAACGGTTTGCCGCAAACCGGTTTAAAATTTACAATTGCAATATAATTGATAACTTGATTAGTTTTTGGTAATTCTTTCAGATTGGTCCATGCCATAATTCGTGAGTTTTTTATCTCGCTTCAAAATGTTAATGCCATAGGAAAGTTTAATTATTGCTGTGTGCCATGCTGGTCGTACTGATGAGCGATTTCAGTTGGTCGAATAAGTGTTATCAGCCTATCTGTTCATTGCTCTAATTTCGTAGACACTTTTTTTAACGGCATCAGTGTTTGGTAGGTTATCAGCGTATAATCATACATGATGCCCAACTGAATCTTTTCTAATTGTCAGGAATCGACCGGGACATGATTTCAGGCCTGACCAGGACCGGGACTGGGACCAAGAATCCTGAATTAACCGGGACCGGGATCATAAATCAGTATTTGACCGGGACCGGGATGAAAAATGTGACTTGACCGGGACCGGGACCCGGACTGGGATAGCTCAAAATTGACAATCCCGGTACCGGAATTCCCGGTACCGGGAATTCCGGTCGATTAATGGTTAATTCATGATCATAATTTATTACTCAAACTTGTTTAGCGATTTTAAACATTGTTTTATTTGGCTCAGAGGATGTTTAAAGATGAAATTCACAATGAATGAAAGGAAAAACTTAAAATCACAGTGAATGAAATTATGTAAAAGATCCCGGTCGATTGACCGGGAACGGGACCAAGAATCCCGAATTAACCGGGACCGGGACCGGGATCATAAATCAGCATTTGACCGGGACCGGGGTCCGGGACCGGGACCGGGATAGCTCAAAATTGCCAATCCCGGTACCAGGATTCCCGGTACCGGGAATCCTGGTCGATTCCTGCTAATTCTATGCTCGTTTTATCCATGATTTTAAACTTTTCAACATCTGACAATAATTAGTTGATGCCCAGAGTGATTGATGTATTAATTTCTACCTCATAAACGTGTTAATTTAGTTGGTATCCTTTATTTCTTATACTTGATCAAGGACAAAAGAAAATCGCGATTATTTAGGCCAAAAATCGCGGTGCAGCGAAATGCCAAACTAGGCAAAAACGCTGCGAAAATCGTTAACTAGCTTGTTAGTCTAGTTAGATTAGCTATAAATACTGACCAGTGCTTGCTTTTAGATCAGCCCTTCCAGACGATCTCGAAAGTTCCTCCCAGCTCGCCAGAACGGAACTCTATGTTCCACTTCGAATCTGTACTCATAGTCATATACATAATATTATTAGTTAACTTGTGTTAATACCATACTAGACGTAATTAAACGAATAAACCCTGTTTACAATGAGATAGCATCACGTGATCGAATCACGTGTTTTGATAACAAAGGTGGAGACTAAGGGGTATGGAGCACACTGCTTTTCGTGTGTTTTATAGACTGACCATGAGTCTTAACTAAGTTAACTCTGAAGATTATCTTTTGTGGGGACCGAGCCGAGGGCTCATCGTCCGAGTATTAAGCAGACACTCCTGATCACTATGTTTGTAGAAATATGTCCTTTACCCTCGGCCTCATGAGCTGTTGTCCGTATAGATTGTCTTAACAATTGATCGGTGTTCTCATGGTTCCAAATCTCATGATTCAATGTCACTTAACAAATTAACTCCTAACTAGCCTTATGCCTAACACATTATTTTATTTACCAAATGGGGTAAGTCGTCGTCATGTGAATGTTTGCAGTTTTCCATACATTGATTGGGGTGTCTAGTAGTCAAGGTTGGTGAGGTTAAGTAGAGGTTAAGTTTTATATCATGTCTAGTGGTCAACTTTATGTCTAGTGTCAAGTTTTAGGGACGTTTTTAGCTAACAATGTTACGTCAGCAGACGAGTGGGTTAAGAAAGCTTGTGAAAGTTGATTCCTAGAAACCAATCATTTTCCACGATTTATGCTACCCTGATCATTATGAGCCAAGCATATTTTTTTCGGTTTACTTTACTGAAGTCCGTACCTATTAGTAGTACCTACCTCTTGATACACGATTTTGGACTAGAGGCTTCCCCCTTGTATTGCAATCTCGGAATACAGGCGGTAGCTCTGCAGTAATCGACCGGGATTGGCAATTTTGAGCTACCCCAGTCCCGGTCCCGGTCAAATGCTGATTTATGATCCCGGTCCCGGTTAATTCAGGATTCTTGGTCCCGATCCTGGTCCCAGTCAATCACTCAAATTTGCCGGGATTTTGACCGGGATCTTTTACATAATTTCATTCACTGTGATTTTATGTTTATTACTAAACAAGTTTGAGTAATAAATTATGATCATGAATTAACCAGTAATCTTCCGGGATTCCCGGTACCGGAAATCCCGGTACCGGGATCGGCAATTTTGACCTATCCTGGTCCTGGTCACGGTCAAGTCACATTTTTCATCCCGGTCCCGGTCCTGGTCAAATGCTGATTTTTGATCCTGGTCCCGGTCCCGGTCAATTCAGGATTCTTGGTCCCGGTCCCGGTCCCGGTCCCGGTCAGGCCTAAAATCATGTCCCGGTCGATTACTGGAGCTCTGTCATCAGAGGTACATATCGAGAATTACTTGGAGTCGAAATTTTTTCAAAGTTTTCCTTTTTATTTGTCCTTGTACTTGATGAAAACCCGATTCCCAGTGTTTGATATGTTAACTTCTTTCAAGTGGTTATTTGAATTTTAAATTACCCAGCAGTACAGAAAGAGTTTGTAATTCTGTTGCTATTTTGGTGACGCAATTTCAATAAAATACTTTTTCTGGAAAAAATTCCTATTTTTGCCGAATCCAAAGGGTACACAGATTGTGTTAAATTACTCTTTTACTGCCTGCTAACCAGAACAACATCTACCTTAGGATGAAATAATTCGTGGAAGGGTGAGAAAAAGATGAAAGTATTACTTGCTACAGTGATCTTGTCTTGTTATGTTAACAGCATAGACGTTTGCTGGTCTGGCTGGAATGGGTTGCAGAAGGATTATAGAGGTAGTATTAAAGAAACCATCTCAGGAGAAACTTGCATGAAATGGACGGATCAGAATCCTCATGCTCACAGCAGAACAGAGGAAAACTATCCAAACAGCGGCCTGGGTGACCATAATTACTGCAGAAATCCTGACAACGAACCTAATGGAGCTTGGTGCTACACAACAAATCCTCTACAAAGATGGGACTACTGTCCTGTCCCTTCATGCACTGAGGATAAATGCTGGGACGGTCTGCAGAAGGACTATAGAGGACCACTACAAGTAACAGAATCAGGTGAACAATGCCAGAAATGGACGGAACAGTATCCTCAGGAACATAGCCGCACCGAAGAAAACTACCCAGAAGCAGGACTTGGAAACCACAACTATTGCAGGAATCCAGACAACGAACCCGCCGGAGCTTGGTGCTACACAACCAATCCTGATAAACGATGGGATTACTGTGATGTTCCTAAGTGCCCATCAACTCTTGCCAAAAAGGATTGTTGGGATTCATTGCAGAAGGACTATAGGGGTGGTGTTAAAGAAACCATCTCAGGAGATACTTGCATGAAATGGACGGAACAGAATCCTCATGAACACAGCAGAACAGAGAAAAATTATCCAAACAGCGGCCTGGGTGACCATAATTACTGCAGGAATCCTGACAACGAACCTATGGGAGCGTGGTGCTACACAACCAATCCGTTACAAAGATGGGACTACTGTCCTGTCCCTTCATGCACTGAGGATAAATGCTGGGACGGTCTGCAGAAGGACTATAGAGGACCACTACAAGTAACAGAATCAGGTGAACAATGCCAGAAATGGACGGAACAGTATCCTCAGGAACATAGCCGCACCGAAGGAAACTACCCAGAAGCAGGACTTGGAAACCACAATTATTGCAGGAATCCAGACAACGAACCCGCCGGAGCTTGGTGCTACACAACCAATCCTGATAAACGATGGGATTATTGTGATGTTCCTAATTGCCCATAAACTCTTGCCAAAAAGGATTGTTGGGATTGCTTGCAGAAGGATTATAGGGGTAGTATTGAAGAAACTGTTTCAGGAGAAGCTTGCATGAAATGGACGGAGCATAATCCTCATGCTCACAGCAGAACAGAGGATAACTATCCCAACAGCGGTCTGGGTGACCATAATTACTGCAGAAATCCTGACAACGAACCTATGGGAGGCGGGAGCTTGGTGCTACACAACCAATCCTGATAAAAGATGGGACTACTGTGATGTACCTAAGTGCCTGTCTGCTCATAATGGACTATTAGCAATTTTATTAACTATTTCTTAGTTTTATTTTTGGAATGTTAATTTTGATTTTTTGGGTTAGTCCCAACTTAAAAGTGGTGTTAATGAATATCAACTACCATATTATGATTTCGTGTCAATTTAGTAGCATGTAACCAATGATGACAAAAAATATATTTTTTCCGCATTTAAAAAAGTCTTTATGATTTTCATCCCAAATAAAAGTTATTGCACATCTACTCCTCGCAACTCTTCTTCAAAAGACTTATTAAAAGTGACAAAAAATATATAAATTGGCAATGATAAAATGAAGGTCACGCTATAAAATGAAGGTCACGTGATAAAATGAAGGTCACGTGATAAAGGTCCACAAGTACCTGAGTTGGCAGGAGAGAGCTTGATAACAAGAGAGAGAACTGTGAGAGTGTGGCTAACCACCGAGCATACCTTCCTCTGGACATACTCTTCAACCTGAAAAACACCATTATAATATGTTTAACCAAACACAATGATTTATTTCTTATCGCTCTATGCTACGTACCAAGCTTTATATGGTACCTACTAAATGCGGCAAACAAACAGGAATAACCATAACAAGAGTACAATATACTCATTGTAATAATAAGCATACCACGTGAGGAAACAGTAGGTATCACGTGTGTTTAAAATAAGGAATTTATTCAATAATACAACGAATCTCAAATTTACACATTCCACACATATGACATAACTCACATTGAGATTATCGAGAGCGGAGCACCAGGACACGATGTTTAACAGAGTGTGGTGGGCGGGGCCAGTGTGGAGGGCTGGTAACATGTGCTCTTCTATCAGCGTCATTAACGGAGCTTTGCATTCTTGGCGTTCTTCCTACCGAGATAAGGAAATAGTTTGGAAATTACTGTACTCTAATAAAATACGACTAAAATACCACTGAAATACTACTGAAATACTACTGAACAAATACTGAAATACAACTAAAATACAGTATGTACTAAGATAGCGAGTGTCTCTGCGTATTAGTTCATGATCATCATAAAATAATACAAACTTTGAACACTTAAAGACAGATCTAAATCCCACTACATTCCTACCTGAGCCTCATTGTAGATTTTCATAACTTTAGCGATGACAACAAGAATGGACTTGCACATCTTGAGCTTGACAAGAGCGTTCTCAAACCTCCACTTCTGGATTCCACAAAACACATCCCTCAACACGTACAGCAGTATCAGTACGCCCTGGTGGAGATTTCATAAGTTAGTTTCGTTTCACAGGAATTATAGATTTGACAAGTTAGTTTTTTTTTTCCGCACTATTATTAGCGAGATATTTCTGAGGAGATCTATGCTGAACTTAAACTATCTAAACACGTGACTCAAACATATATACCTCGGTTAGGTACTGATCGTTTTTAACAAACTCTGCATCCTCACAAGCTCTCTTCAGGAGTTTCAACAGAGCTATAGTGACTGGAAACAAGGTGTTGGGTCGTTCGTAGTAATTTAGTATCTCTGTGTACAAACCCTCCCAGGCTGCTAACGTGTTGTCACTCTAAAAGAGGGATTATAAGAGGGGTCACTCTGAAAGAGGGGTTAGAAGAGGGGTCACTCTAAAAGAGGGGTTACTTGTTTTTGAGAAACCGTTTGATTTAGAATGTAATATGTTATGACTGAAGAATTAATAGAAATTTAAAGAGAGTAAAAAGAAGAGAATTCAGTGTCAAGAATCAAGATACGTATAAATTATGAAGTATTAAGATTTTAGCTCACTAGATACAAACACTCTAACAACGACAAAAAGTCTGGACAACATTCCAAATTTCCTGGAATCTCCCAACTTTACTGACCCGAGGTAAGAAGTTGATCTTGTAGAGTGCATTCCATCCAGTTTTGTGAGGAATAACAGAGATGAGTTTCAGAGCAACTGCAGTAAACTCAACGTGGGTGTGGGTGTCTGTTCGCAGCTTTGGTATTATTGCTGTTATCAGGTCTATAGTCTTGGTTAGTACCTGGGGATATAATCATCTTTAATATAAGAGATTGCAGGGTGTCCAGGTTTTTTTTGAAAAGGAAATCTATGAAATCTATGAATATTTCTGTCGACAAAGCCTCAGCGAGACGTGACGATCAAAGAGGTCGAAGATTTTGCCGGATGCCCGATTTTGGGGAAAAAAAGTGTTTTATGCAGTGCCACCGGCGAAAATTCAGTTGTTTTTATCCTTTTTGGCTACTTTAGAGTAACTTTATAGTAACATGAGATCCTTTTAATTATATATTATATTATGCGAGTACCATTTATTACCTCAAATACATCAGGGTAATGTTTAGTTAGTTTGTAAACTATTTTTAATATCTCAGTCGACCTTGTCAGTCTCCAACAGAAGTGCTGATCAGTAGTCGTCCCTGTGTTAATTACTGTTAATTCGTGTTAATTACTTTAATTAATTACAGTGTTATTCAAGAAAATTGCTGTTCCCAACGCGAACGGAACAGCAACATTTCACATATAATAATACTTCCAATAAAAAATAACATTGAAAAGTTACGATCGATAAAATGGTATGACCTCAATAGCTAAAGTTCAGTTCCACGTAAAGGATCATAAATCTAAGTATTTACGTGCAGCGTGTTTACATACCGGACCACTTGGAAAGGAACGCCAACTCGTTATCAAGATAACTAAACAAGCTGTAATCATACAACCACTGCACTATCACAGTTGTAGGGCGCGTTTCGCGCAGATTGCACTGCGTGTTAGGTTTGGCAATGAATTCCCCGCCGGGTGTTAGAGCTAGGGGAGCTGGGTTAGTGTACAGCCAATCTTCGTCCGTTTCAACCACAGTCGAGTTGAAAACTGATTTTTGAACCTGAGATAGGGAAACGTAATGCAAGGCTTGAGTAAGGTGTTATTAGAACAACAACTTTCTTATCCAAATTTAGTTTCATAGTAAATAAACTGAAAAATCGGCGGAGTTACACAGTTCTTTTAAAAACAAAACAATTGATAACAGGGAAAATAAAATGACTTGACAGTTTATAGACCAGATCAGACCAACCTCAGCGGTGAAAAGCGAAAGGGAACTAGCGAACTGTACAAGCCTCTCACAACTAGCAGTGTTTTTAGCTAAACTATAACAGATACTGGTGAGGGGCTTGTAGGAATGTGGGAATGTGCTAGCAGCCGAACTGAGGACCACACCCACACCCTTCTCAGCACAAGCATCCCAGAATTCTAGAGATAACACATCCTCTTTCAACACTTCTGATATCTAGAAAAGAAGGACTGGTCATATGAAAATATACTACCCTGATAAAGTATGATGTCAAGGTTATTGGCACAATAATTTTAAGATTTACGAATTCAATAAGTTTAGAATATTCTCGAAAGTTCTCTTACAACTTGAGCCAATGACGTGGCATCTCCCAGTGTATCTTCATGAAATATAGTAAGAGTAGTTGCCAGGACTTTATAAACTGTAATCCTGGAGAGCTGCAGGGTGACAGAACATGACTGGAGAGCAGGAGATTGAAGGAAGGCTAACAAGGAGCCCACACCGCCCCCTTTTAAACCCTGCTGTCCTAAATATCTGGAGTGAGCTTGTTCCTTGTTTGTGGTTGCTAGAGCGTACCGTAGGACCGCCCAGGATATGAAGAGAGGGGCGTTGGTGCTGTTACAGGGTAGGGAACTGAACAAGTCGTTCACTTTCTCGTAGGCTGCGTTGTCTGATCCCAGGTAATGGCTCTCCAATGATTCTCTGTCCTGATAATTGTACATATTTGTTTCACTTTACCCAATTTTAATGTTAATCGTTGTCTTCTGAAATTATCAAATTATCATAATCAAATTATACAATATTCGATATGAACAACAGAAAATAATAATTTAGAGCAAGGAAGCAAAATTTATCAAACCTTTTCAAAATGTTCAAAGATGTGTTCCATGCCTAATCCATCAAATGTCAAGATGACACTGAGTCCTGCGGCCATTACATCAGAACTGGACAACAACTGCCCGAACAGTAGCCTGCACTGATTCAGATAGCTGTCAGCTGAGTGTGGAAAGTGATGATTGTAAATTAAAAGTGTTCTTAGAATGACTACAACTTCATTTTTTAGTTGTGAACTGAAAATTGTCTTTATCGAGTGCCCAGATAACATATTTTCATCTTCTGCGGTTATGTGAAAATAGTCTGGTACAAGAATTTGCTTGACTTGGTCCAGTATAGACTGTCTTATATCAGATTTGTTCATTTCTTCGATTTCTTGTTTTAGTCCAGAGAACAAAGGATGATCCTCGTTTTTGTAATGCGACAAAACGTGGCTCAAGCAGTTCAGACTTGACAGTCGCTCTGCAAAGTAAAAATGGAGAAGTCGTATGAGCAAGTTCTGCTGACTTAACACATTTTGTAACGCATTATTAAAGGAAGCTGGGGTGTCCTTGTACTCCACTGCAAGATACATCTGAAAGATCTCAAGACACTGCACTTCATCGAGATTCAACAAAATGGATGCCTTTTTAACGAAATCAAGTTTGTTTCCTTTGATGGTTTTGTTGTTTTCAAGTTTAGTTTTACTTGCAGATGAAGGAGGTTTGAAAAAAGAGACTCCCGACAATATTCTGTCTCTATTCCTCCGTAGTTCCGCAAGAATACTTTCTTCTTCTCTAATTGCAGTGTTACCATTGAGGACCCTCCACAAAGACTGAATACAATCCATCCTATGTAGCAACAATTTCACTGAAAAAGAATTGAGATATAAACGAGTCATATTGATTGCTAAATGAGTATCTACCTTAGTATCAAATTGTAGAATGATTGTATCTAATTCAAGTAAAGCAGCATTTTAAGAATAATATTGAGGCTTGAATTTACAGAATTAATAATAGTCGGTCTAACAACTTTGACAGAATTTTCACTCAGTCTAATATCTTTTCAAATTTAATAAGAGTAGATCAATGACCTTGTTAGTAAGGCACATTACAATGACACTGTAAAAATTATGAGAAATTAGTCATTCAATATATTTTGGAAAAGGCACATCTCTTAAAAATGATATTATTGATGCAGAAAAACCTCAAACTTCTCAACCTCTAAAATTAATAACTTAAACAATTTTAAAATCCCATAGTCTCACTTTTTCTGTTTTTTACCCTTTGCACCACCCTTGATACGTTTCTCAATATTGGCTTGTCTCTTTTTCTGCTTATCCTTTTGAAGTTTCTTCTGTCCCCCTGTTCTTACATCCCATTCCTTATTGGATTTTTTCTTGGAATGTTCTTTGCGCTTGATAGTTTTGGCAATTAGCTCTGGATTGTCCTTCTGCTTTTCACCTTTAGCCATAGCAATCGCCTTGGACCAGGCTTTATCTTGTAGCAATGATACAGATTTCACATCAGTTGATTTTTGTAATTTGGAAACCTCTTTCTTTTTCTTTTTAGCCTCATCTAACATCTTGACAAGATTCTTTTTCTTATTTCCTTTCTTTGCCGACTGCAGATCAACTTCACCTTTTGTTTTAGTTTCAAATTTACTGAACTGTATATTTGTAGTGACAGCTAAATCTGTTGACGGTCTCTTAGTCTTTTTCTTGTCATCATCAAGAATGGAAGTTTCCAACCTGACTGCTTTCTCAAATGTTTTCTTTTGGCCCTTCTTTTCCGTGGCTTTCAGCAATCGATTTGCTTTTCTCCTTTTCAGTTTAGTTGAGTCTGAATAATTTCTGGAAACTTTAGCCAACTTTATCTTTGTCTGCAGCCTTTCTTTTAATTCTGATATATCTAGTGACTGAACTTTTTCAACACTCATGACTTTGGCTTTTTTGCTCTTTACCTTGCTACTTGCCTCATCATTTGCCTCAAGGCTTTCAGCTGTAGTTTTCTCACTAACAATTTCTTTCAACTTTCGTTTCTTATTACCAGAAGGATTGTGTTGATACTTCTTGGACACTTGTTGTTCAGTGTATTCCTGATGAATTATCTTTGGGAGCATTGATGATAATACCGCAAAGTGATCATACTGTTCATCAACTGTCATCTTTTCAACCTGTGAGAGATTGAAATGTTGTCAATGCTTAAATGATATGATATGATCTGTAATTAATATTGTACACTTTTTTAAACCTCGATTTTCCATATTAACATAATTAACATTAATTTATTGTACCTCTTCTTTTTCCATCAAAATTTTTGAAAAATGACAAAATAATGTATTGCTTTAACGACTAAATGAAGGAGTAAATTATAAAATGATAAATTCAATAAAATCGAGTGATACAATTGACAGAGCACAATACACAGGTAACAGATATGGGCCATTGCTACCATTAATATGTTCATTTGTGTCCCAAAACAAATAAGTGATGCCTGGAATGTCCAAGCTATATAGGTGTAATATATGAATGACTAAATTGTATGACTTGATTGAATAATTAAATTTGATATCACCTGAAAGTGAGGAATCTAGGTATGAGGTTCCTTGACGATATTTTAAATGAAATTTTGAACTCTGGAACTAACTAATTATAGCATGGGTGATAATGAGACTAGATTCTTGTCATATAACTTCATTCTCAACTTCAGTAATTCTTTTATATGTCTGTGGCTACCAGATTCCTACATGCACAAAACATGAGTCTAACAGGTAGCCAGATGCAGAGCTACCTTAAAACCTATACACAAATCTAAATATTTCACACTTTACAGCAGAAGCATGGTCTAGTGGTTTAATCTCCAGACAACTCGCCCAGAGTTTAAATCCTGTTGATGGACATTACTGTTTTGGCAGTTATGGATACCTCTATTTACTGCAGTAAAGAATACAGATCAGCAGAACACGATACGGTAGCCAAACCATCATTTAAAATGTTGATTCCCAGCCAATTTCAGATGTTAGCGACAGGGCCTTTACAATACGGCTTAGCCCTGATTTAGGGAGGAAGACAAAATTGGGAACTAGTATTGTGCAGTGGCGTAACGTTACTTTGTGCCGCCCCCCTGCTGATTGAAATTTGCCGCCCCTTTTCCGCCCCTAAAATTTTGTGTCCCTAAAAAAAAAAAAAAAAAAAAAAAAAGGTCGGGTACTTTTTTTGCCGCCCCCTACACCTTTTTGCCGCCCCCTGAAGCAACAATGGTACCCCAAATATTTTTTTCACGTCGACTGAACGCTAAATTCGACAGGGTAGTACACCAATAAGGCGCTTTTTCCGTGAAATCAGACCTACAATCCAGGAAAATGCCGCCCCCCTAAGGTGCCGCCCCCCTGCTAGCAGGGTTAGCAGGGGCGGTTGTTACGCCACTGGTATTGTGTGGAGAGAAAGAATATGATCCAACTACGACTCGTCTCATAATTCGAAACCCCAACTTACCGTACACGTTTCACCTTACTACTTTTCTTGCTCCTTGACTGATGGTAAATTAAGGTTTTACTGTAGTAACAAGAATTTCGCCGTGGTTAAACCACGCACAATCAATTTTCCCTACGATGTACTTGTACCATTAATTCTTTTGAGTGAAAAGTGTGACAGGAAAAATTGCACCATATTTACATACTATGTTTTTTATATATGAGTGGGATTCGTGCATGGTAAAACTTGACGATTTATTTGACCAATGCAGCGCCGCGCATAAACAATAAATGAATCCAGAAAATTGCGGAAAATAACTTTGAGAAGGAGGAATTTCACTGTAATTAATTAACACATGGCTAGCGTTGCACGCAGCATAACAGACGCTTCCTATACACTTAATTATAGGGGGGTGGTCTATATTGCGAAGGAGCAGACTTTTGTCATCATCACAGGTCCATTGGGCCACCTCATATATCCAAACCCGATTACTTATTCCCTACGATCTTTTTGCCTTCGGCAAGAGTAGGGAAAAAAATTATTCTATCACAATTCTTTTATAAAATGACTTATTACTATTGGCGAAACACCATATTTAGGTAATTTGTAGTTTTACTGAATATTCAAACAATATACACATGATATAGCAATGACCCTATATAAAATTCTGTAAAGATGGTACAAATTTAAAAACTGAGGTAAAAATAAAACCCTTTGTAATAATATATATAAAATCCACTAAATCACATCACAACAAAAAGCAGTTTAGACCCCCATCCAACAAGCACTCCATGACCTTTGAGGGTTTAAGAGTGTTGATCAGGTTAAGGTCCAAATCACTTATTGCCGTGGGTGGAAGGGTTCTGGTACCTCTGTACCCCCTGATAGAGATTATACAGGTTCTGAGTAGATCAAAACGCAGTCTGCGTCTGACAAATGACATCACATCACAATACCGTTGGCCTTTCTTTAGGCTGATCTTTTCAGCAAGATGTTTTAGAAACTGCGAAGCCTCAGTTGCCATTCCTCCTGTAGTACTGAACACCAGTGGTGTGAAGGTAGCCTTTTCTACATTGAGGACTCTGTCATTGTACTCACGTTTTTTGTTTTTCTCGTGAAATTTGTACATCTGTGAGATGCTCTTGTCACTGTTGGACTGGGCTTGAGGGTGAAGTACCCTTACATCTGTGAATGCCCTGTCCAGCGGCGACCAAAACGATCTCGCACTGCTTTTAGTTGTTTTACTTGTTGAAGATAAAAAGAAAATAGACACAAAATATGGGACCCCTCTATTAGAAGTATCTTACGACCTCATCCCTGCCCCTGTGATGGAGTAGATATGTATATATTTGGTTGTTTATATTTCATAATAATAAATAAATACAACTTTTATAAACCGCCTTATAGCTAAATCATATAACTCGATATAATTTAATCCTGGAGATAAACTCCAGTGCTTTCTAAAGCGGCTCTTACATTAACTGAGCTTAGTTTAATTGAAAATTAGACATGACAAATTCATTTTATCTATGTAAATGCAAAATCAATCAAATGCTAGAGAAAAGAAGTATGTTTTAAGTTTGGTCTTGAAAGATGTAACTGACTCAGCTGATCTTATGTCGTATGGCAAGGAATTAAATACTTTAACTGCACAGTGACTAAAAGCTTTCTCTGTGTTTACATAGTTAGGAGAGGGCGGAAAACTAAGGTAAAAATAATCATTATCAAGACGTACATTTTTAAAACTTTGCTGCCTAGGAGATATCAACTCTTTTAAGTAAGGAGGAGCTATATTATTTAAACACTTGTAGGCAAGTAGGGCAATCTTAAAATCTATTCTAAATCTAACTGGTAGAAAATGAACTTTCTTAAGTAGTGGAGTAGTGTGTGCCTTTCTTCCTCTCCCGAAAATAAATCTTACAGCAGAATTTTGCACCTTCTGTAAACGACTTAAGTCATAAGAGCTCAGTCCAAAATATACGCTATTGCAATAATCAATTCTAGAGAGTACTAGAGCATGAACAAGCTGAATCTTAAGGTTAAAAGACAGTTTTGATGCAATAAACCACAAATTTCTGATCTGAATATTACATGCTTGAACCACTGACGTAATCTGATCACTCATTGAAAGATAACTGTCCAAATACAGCCCAAGACTCTTCACAGTTCCACTAACAACATGTGGCTCTTGATCCTTAACAATCTGTAGAGAAGCTGGAATATTTTTTGAGTCAAATTTAGAGGATATAACGATGACTTCAGTCTTAGAAGAATTCAGTTGAAGGAAATTGTTTGTCATCCATTTCTTGATATCAGACATACAGTGTTCCATATTGTGCTCTAGCTGTGATGGGTCATCAGAATCAAGAGTGAAATACAGCTGGGTGTTCATATAATACTGGTAGCAGTGAAATTACTTGTGTATTGTGCTTTGCCAATTGCATCACTTGATTCAATTGAATGTACATATATTGTTTGAATGACCTTTTCAAAAAAATAATTAATCAATAGTCAAATTATACATTGAAACAACAATCAAAGGTAGGGAAAAGGAATTTCGAAATGCAACCAATGAAACAATAAGGTTTTCCTTCAGCGCTCGATTTTACACGGTGAAGATTAGCGAAAATTTGCTGGGCGGCGCTCAGCCTGTCATTCCGCCGAATATTATGTTTATGAACATAATAGCCTGGGGTTCCCAGGCAAGCGAAAATATGCGCGGCGTACCTAACATTTTTGATTCACGATGTCAATCCTTCGCAGCTCGGTGAGGCACAGTGGTGCATCTCGCCGATCTACCGAAGATGTGGTTGCGAGAAGCATTATTTGATGCGCGCGCGACCCAGTAGTGCATCGCGCTACAACTAACATTTTAGTTTCGTTTTAAAATCTTTTTTTACCACCATTGAATTAGTCATTTTAAAAATAAATATGAAAATTTGCAATTGCTCATGACATCGGACATGTCATTTAAATACTAAAAATAAAATGTGCAAAAGTCCCAAATTAATTAGCTCCTACTTGATTTACAATGCAATGTCGATCCTTTGCAGCTCGGCGTGGCCCAGTTCAGTGATGATCATGTATTTTGATTCTTGCCGATTTAACGAAGGTTGCGAAAAACATTATTTCATGCGCTGCTTAACATTATTTAACGGGTGATACTCGTAAAATATAAATATTTGTTTCAAATATTAGATTGTTGACGAGTCCAATAATTTAATTATTTGGCGCGCATCTTGGTAGGTTATAAACCTACTTATCTGGGGACCGCAGGCTATCATGTTCATAAACATAAAATAGAGATTAGGCGGAATGACAGACTGAGCACGGCCCATAACGGGTGATACTCGTAAAATATATATTTTTTAATATTAGGACCGTCAGGGAGTCCAACTCGGCGCGCGTCCTGGTAAGTTATAAACCTACAAAGCTTAATTGACGATGTCAATTCTTCGCAGCTCGGTGAGTTGCGCATTTCGCCGATCGTAGCGTGGTTAAGTTGCGAGTTGTCATACGTTGTATGACCCGCCGCGCACGAGTGAGTGGCTCCTATAGTGAAACGGCGATGGGGGGTCATGACGTGATACAAGTTGCGAGAGGCATAATTGAGTGCGCGGCGCAGCCCAGTTACGCATCGCGCTATTATACAAGGCGCGGCCCGCAGTAGTGCATTGCAGCGCTAAAAATAAAGTA